CCCCTGTGCATCTACAACTATCTCAAAATAAAAAGCTTTTTTTTATTTTTTAAAAGATTTTATTTTATTTTTAGAGAGAGGGAAACATCAATGTGTGGTTGCCTCTCGTGCGCCCCCTACTGGGCACCTGGCCTGCAACCCAAGCATGTGCCCTCCCTGGACTGGGAATTGAACCAGCGACCCTTTGGTTCACAGGCCGGCGCTCACTCCACTGAGCCACACCAGCCAGGGCCTTTTTTTCCTTTTTTTTTTTCAAGTCCAGGTGACAGGCCCAGGTCTGACCTTGAGCCCTGAGGGGTAAAGCCTGGGAAGACAGACAGGAGCCACAGGAGGGGCCCTGCGTCATTTGGAGGTGAAGAAAAATACTCTGAATGCCACCCCGCTATCCCCCACCTTCATTCTGGGAAACTGAAGTCAAAGTGTGCTCTTGTGTGTGTCGTGGAGAGGCTGGGGAAGAACAATTTAAATACTAAATTATGTCCATAGGGATTAAGAGCCTTGAGGAATGACATTTTTTCCATCGTTTGCATACATTAAAGCTTGTTCTTTGCACTGCTCAGTTCTCAGTTCTCGAGTTTCAAAAAATGCAAAGAATCTTGTATCTGCTACCCCAGGACCATACAAAACAGTCTGATCATCCTATACATTTGCCTGAGCATCTCCTTTGTAGTCAACCACACCCCCTGCACCAGCCCCTGGCAACCACTGATGATGAATTGATTTCTTAACCATATTGAATTCTTAAAAAAAAAAAAAAAAGGTCAGAATGTAGAGGCAAGACATTGCAAGCAGAAGAAACGTCAAGAACAAAGAACTAGAGATTGTTTTTAAAAACCAATACTGAAAGCCACCTAGCGCCTCAACAATTTGCGTAGGATGCTGTAGATGGTCTGTAAATGTTGGCTGGTTGGTTGGTTGATTAAACTAATGAACTGTGTGATCTTGGCATCTCTAAGCCTCAGTTTCTTCATCCATAAAATGGAGGTGACCCAACTCAGGATTTATTCATTCAGTGAACAATTTTTTTTCAATGTTTAAAAATTTGTTTCTTGTATGTGCCCTGGCAGGTAATTGAACCCACAACCTTGGTGTATCAGGACAATGCTTTACCAACTGAACTACCCAGCCATGACCATCCAACAAATGTTTCTGAGTCCCTACTATGTACCTGGTGCTGTTCTAGGCACTAGGAGTATAGCAGTGAACAAAACAAGCAAGGATTCCTGCCCTCGTGTTGCTTATATTTGAGGAAGGAGACAAACAAATGTAAAGAAATAATAAAGATGTTTAGGCCCTGACCAGTGTGACTCAGCTGGTTTGGTGTTGTCCCACAAAGCAAAAGTTTGCCAATTCAATTCCTGGTCACGGCGCAGGCCTAGGCTGGGGGCTCAGTCCCCAGTTGGGGCACATATGAGAGGCAACCAATCGATGTTTCTCTCTCACATCAAGGTTTCTCTCCCTCCCTTCCCCTCTCTCTAAAAATAAATAAATAAAATCTTTACAAAAAAGATATTTAGAAGGAGATAAACACTGTGGGAAAAATGGAACTGGGTAATGGAGACGGGAGGTAGGAATGTAGTGGGGGCTTCCTGCATTTTCAAACAGGGCAGTTAGAGCCTCGCTGGGCGAGAAGGCAAATGGCTCAGATGTTTGGGTAGGACTGCTCCCGGCAGAGGTGGGCTCCAAGGGGAGCCAGGAGACCGGCGGGGCTAGACAGAGCGGCGGGGAGAGTGGGGGGCATGAGGTCAGCAGCCTAGCATCTTGCAGGCCATGGCACTTTTAATCCTAGTGACCCCGAGAATCATCTCAGAGGACTTTTAGCCTAGGAATTACATGATCTGACTTAGGTTGTCGTAATGGCTTTAAATTATTAGATTAAATACTAAAATAAGAATTAACTATTTACAAAGGGCCTGGCACACAGCCTGGAACATGACTTGTGCATTTCCCAACCGCGCACTTGCACCAGGGGCATTCGCCGACATGCACTCCGGGCGTGGTGGCCTGGGTGGGGAAGGAGCTAACCTGTTCCAGTCACTGGCGCCCTCTCCTGGAGGAGCCCACACTAGCTGTGACAGCAGCAGGAAGCCATCCGACTGGCCAGGCCTGTCACCCAGGGCAGCTGTCCGCAAGGCGCTCATCTGTCCCTCAGAATGGGCCCCACAGTGCCCTGCGGCCTGGCGCCGGGCTGGCTGTGTGCTGCCCATCAGCCCTGACTAGCAATCACAAGCCTATGGTGTCATGGAAAGAGATCTGGGCTTGGGAGGCCAAGGAAGCTAGGGCCCAGTCCTCCTCTGCCACGGATATGCTGTGTGACCTTGGCAGTTCACCCCACCTCTCTGGGCAATGGGGAGCTTCCTCCTACTCATGATGATATACCATATGCCTGGAACATGGTAAAAACTCAGTAAATGTTGGTTGAATCAGTGAATGAAGCAGGGCCATCAACCTTTCTGATAAATATTTAATTTAGAGAAAAGCAAATAAAAGTGCCCAGTGGGTACACATTCAACAGGTATTTAAATATTTAATGAGCACCTTCTATGGACCAAGCACTCTTCTGGGCACCAGGGATACAGTAGTGAATAAAACCAATAAAAACCTTGCCCCTGGATAGCTGACATTTTAGGTGTCGAACCAAAGGTCACTAATGTATTTGTATTTGCATATGTGTCCTGGGCAAGCTTGTGGTGAGAGAAGAACAAGAAAGTGGTGAATGGATGTCATGCATTGTCTCAAGGCGCAGGTGTGGGAGGGCAGCCAGAGTGGACAGATAGGGTCGGAAAGTGCCCACTGAAGCCTTAGTTCCTGACCTAGGGACGTATTTGCCCCCACCACCCTGCCTACCCCTCCACGCCCTCAGGTGGGGTCTGAGCTGGTCTGGAACTGGTCCAATGGCTCTAGTGGGAAGCTGGTCAGTCTTCTGTGAGCCCTCTTATTTCTCAATGCTCAGAATCTTGAAGGAGACGACGTCAAGTGCCCCCAGGAGCAGGGAGAGGCTTTGCCATGGCGATGAATGGGCTGTATGTGTATGACCACAGGAGACCCAGATCTCCGCTTTATTTCTGTCTGTTCTCTAGGAGCAGCACTCCTGTCTCTCCGCCCAGCTTCTCTGGGTCACTGACCAGCTCCCAAGGAGAGAGACAAAGCCGAGGACTCAGAACCAGAGTTCTAGTCCCAGGAGGGCTCTGTTCAGAGAACGTCTCCCTACTATGGGACACAGGGTGGATGTGGGTCTCCTCTATTCTCTGAGGGCAAGTGTGTCGTCATCACAGGACACAGATGTGGGCTGAGAAGGAAGGACTTTCTGCCTTTCAGAGCTGTCCTCGGCCAGAAGGGGCCACTCTTACCACCTCTTACCCCCGGGGCCCAGCCTTCCCCAGGTGCTTCTCTCACAGACAGACTAGCTCAGATGCCAGGGACCTCACCAGGCTCAAGGATAAGGAGCCCCTCACCCATCCCTCCTCCTCTATCCCAATGTAAAGGCCCCAGAAATGCCATTTCTCATTTCACGTGGAGCTCTGCTACAGGCTGATCGGGGTAGCTCTGGGGCCTGCGGGGCTCACCCCATCGGAGCACTGGGGGAAAGCAATGACCGTGAGTCAACAGCGGCTGAGGGTGGGGACCGGGGTGTAGCCCCAGATGTTCCCAAGGCAAAGGTGAAGAAATACCCAGGAGAAAGGGGCCCTCTTAGAGGGAGGGACTACACAGCCCAGAGGGGAAGGGGCAACTTGTAAGCAAGGAGTGCATCCAAGGAAGGGAGAAAAACAGATACCACAAAGGCTTTTTGAAGTTTCGGCGGCGGGGGCGGGGGGGACCTTAGGAGTATCAGCCCTGGCTGGTGCGGCTCAGTGGATTGAGTGTCAACCTGCAAACCAAAGGGTCACTGGTTCAATTCCCAGTCAGCGCACATGCCTGGGTTGTGGGCCAGGTCCCCAGTAGAGGGCGTGAGAGAGGCAACCACACATTGATGTTTCTCTCCCTCCCTTTCTCCTTCCCTCCCTCTCTCTAATAAATAAATAAATAAAATCTTTTAAAAAACAAAAAACCTTGGAACATCAGGCTAGGCCCCTTAAGACTAAAACCCCATTAGGTTTATTTCACCTACAGACAGTCTGAATTTATTGTTTGTGATCTCTACTCTCTTCCCATCTCTAAAGGGAAATCTCTAAATCTGTGAGGAGTGACAGGAAGCCTGAGACCTCCATGGAGCCATCAAGCTTTCTGAGTCATCGATCCGCCTGGAATTTATTTTTGGAAGGAATGAACAGAGAGACAGCCTTCATCCTGGCCCCCATGGCTACCCATTGCCCCAGGCCCTACACTGAATGATGAAGGGTTCCCACGGAAAACTTAACATATCAGTGTGAATGCTCTATTCCACAGCTTCTAATTTTCTTTTCATGTGTCCTATGTTTCCCTCCCATCTTCCCAAATTCTCCCCAAATTTCCCTTTAGTATTTTCACTGAGATAACACTGCATTAAAATGATAAATTAATGAAGGATGAATGAACGTCTTGAGGGTACTGGGTCTTCTTCTCCAAGAATAAGATAAAGCTTTTCATTTTTAACACTGTTGTTTTTCCTGAATTGGCCCTCGTGCATAAAAGGCGCTCAGGCAGGTTTAATGGGAAGGCTGTAAACTCTTTTGAGGAAGAGCTTACAGGGGGAGGAGCCCTACTTCAGAGCCAGTCTGTGGGGAGGCACGGTGACCTTCAAAAAGAGTAGCAGGTGGTGCCCCTGGGCTCTGATGAGCCGAAGGGGGTAGGGGCCCAAGGGGCCCGGAATTGGGGCCTAATAGGAGGCACCTGTGGTTCCCCAACACACGCCCCTTGCCCAGCCCCCTCCCCCATAAGCTACACACACAGCATGGCTGGGAGGCTCTGGCCCTGAGGGACAGTCTGGCTGGGCAGGAGGACAGCACACAGACCATCACGCAGTTTGATGGGGCCCTGGGGGCCCCTAGAGGAGACCTGGCAGTCAAATCAACGGGACGGGCTAGGCTTGTGCTTATCTTTTTATTGTTTCTGTCCGGAGCCCCTGTAGTGGGGGAGGGGCAGGCGCAGGGAGTCGGGCACCCTTGCCACCTGCCTGAGACCACGCTTGCCTCTCTCCTCTCCTTTCCTCTCAGCATCTCATCCACTTTCTCTCCTTCTGAATTGCATGCTCCCACCTCTGGCACCTTCGGGGGTTCCTTCGTGCAGCCCCTGCTTCTAAGCTTACCTTGGGAACGTAAGAGACTATGGGGTGAATTTAGTGCCCCTCAGTCTCCACAGGGACTATGAGGTTAATTTAGTGTCCCCTAGTCTTCATAGGGGACTAGTCCCCCAGTTACGGGCCCAGCTTACTGAGGAGACCCTTTCTTTTTTCTGACCCAGGCTGGGCAGTGGGGAGGTCCACCCCGTGGGTCCCAACACCCAGCTGGGGTGGAGGTCCCTCTCCAAAGCCAGAGGCTAGGGCCTGAGGCCACAGAAGTGGAGGGGCAGGGTCACTGCTCTGCCTCGGCTCCACATCCAGGGCCATCTTGACAGCACCCTAAGGCTGGCCAAGAGCCAGGCTCACTCATTTCCAACATCCAGGACTCACACTGCTGGGGGCTCCCTGTGGGGCAGGGATGGGCCATGTCCCCTGTGGGGACACTGGCGGGTGGCTGGTGAGCGGGGTCAGGGCTGTGAGGGCAGCACTGTGCTGGGGTGGGAGGAGGCTGGCCGGGAGGCAGTGAGCACAGGGGCAAGGACGGTCTCTGGTGGCAGAGGGTGCTCTGGCTTTAGAGCACCTCGTGCTGCTGCTGTGTGGCCTCGCTGACGACCTAGGGAGGAAGAGAAACCCAGTCCAACCCAGTGCTGGCAGGAGAACCGAGCCACCGCCCCCCATCCCAAAACAGCAGGACCCCCCTTCCTTCAGACAGGGACTCATGCAAGCACAGTTGGTGGAAGACACCTGGCTGACAGCCCCCAGACACACCCCACGGCCCCACCAAGGCTAAGGGACCGGGAAGACGGCTCACCTCCCCATCCCGGGTCTCAATGGTCTTGATCATCACTGTCTTCTTGGTATGAACCTCAGAACTCCTTTGCTCAGGGCTCGTTTCTGTAACAGATCCACCCACATGCTCAGCCCGGCCAAGTCCAGGCCCAGGCTGCTCCAGGGTCTGGGAGTCATGGTCCCCTCCGCCCGCCCCGTCCCACAGAAGACTTCCTCCCCTCCAGCAGAAGCTTTTTCAGCAGGCCTTTTCTCACCTATCCTTCAGCCCAGTGAGTGGTTCTGCAGGCCCCAGGCTTAGCCCCAAGGCTGAGATGGGATCAGGAACCTACAGATGTGCTCCAGGTGTGGGCTGGTTCAGCGGGGAAGGACCCCTCCGGCCTAGGCCACCCAGCACTTCCATCCTCCACGCATCTCCTTGCTCCCCTCCACCTCTAGGCTGCAGGACAGCCCGGCACCAGTTTGCACCCTGGCAGTTAGAACTCCAAAGCCCAGTCCCAAGACCCTGTCTTAGAGGGCCTCATGGAACCCAGACCCTTTAAGATTCTGGATGAGTAACTTGAAGTCTTAATGAAAGGGAGATGGACAGGAGTCAGTCACTGGTTCAGTGACACGCCCTGCGGTGCCTCAGTTTCTTCGCTGTGAATTGGTGACAATGATCCTTGCCCTATCACAGCCACAGGGCTATTCGTTTCAAAAAAAGCATGAAGCTGTTTTAAATGCAAGGCTCACACTTGGCGTCTGTATAAACTGCTAACTAAAAAGAGAGGTTCTGAGTTTTATAGGAGGGGTCAAATTTAGGTCTTTGGCACAAAGAGTTTGGTGTTCATGAATCTCCTTAGCGAGCGATCGGCCTGCAATGAACGCTATAGTTCCGTGGAGCCAGCATGTATTTTTTTCCTGATGGAAATGAACATCGAAGATATAAATGGTTTGATCTAGGAAAGGCAAAGCTGCCAAGAATTCTGACTTCCTTTCCTAATGTATCATTATAGTGTGTTTTTCTGTTCTCCAGGGTTGGAAAGCCACACAATCTGCATGTTACTAATGGCAGAATGGCAGAGTGCCCTAGGAGCTCCTTCTTCTAATTGTTTGGCTTTGCTAAGGTTTGGCTTCATTGTGTTAAACGTGCATCCAACATCTTGTCCCAGCAAATTGGAGGTGTTCAACAAGCAGCTGAAAGGGGTGGGGGTAGCTGGGTGGGAGTGGCACTTGGCAAAATGCCAAACAGACAATGGGTGGTGGGTGCCTTATAGCCCAGGGGGTATTGTTCTAGATGCTTCTGCTGCCAGACTGCCAAGGACACCTCTGGTTCCCTCAGAGTTTGGGTACATCAAGAGACAGAAGCTGGCCCTGGTCAGGTAAGGCAGTTTGTTAGAGCATAGTCCTGATACACCAAGGTTGTGGGTTCGATCTCTGCTCAGGGCACATATGAGAAACAACCAATGAATTCATAAATAAGTGGAACAGCGAATTGATGCCTCTCTCTCTCCATCTCTCTCTCTCTCTCCATCTCTCTCTCTCTTCCACATCCATTAAAAAAAGAGAGAGACAGAAGCTGTTTGCTGATGTTCAATACAGAAGGTGCAGGACACATGGTCAATGCAATACCATGAGATAATAAAATGATCTCTTTGTCAGAAGATGCCTCTACCTAAACTTCCCCTGACCCCAGTCCTGTCCCCACAGTTCCGTCCTCCCCTTCTGCTTGGCCTTGGGCAGCGCCCCTGCTAGATTTCTGCTCGCCACCACGCCAGCCTCCACCTGCCGACACACACTCACCTCGAAAGTTGAGGGCAGAGAAGGTCTGGATGGGAAGGTTGATCCTGAAAGGGGAGAGATCAAATCCCCAGAGGGTTAGGACTCACCACCTCTCCCTGTGACCACCTATCAAGGCCCGCCCTGGTCCTGTCTACACACCGCCCTCAGCTGTCCCAGCACCCCCACTGTCACACTGCTCAGGACACGGGGTCAAAGGCCAACTTTAGTTGTCCCAGAAACTGTCTCTCTGGAAGGGTCACCCATTCCACCCCTGACCTTCTGGCATGACACCAGCACGCCCCATCCCACTGCCCTCTCCAGTTCGCCGGGATGCCCTTCTCGCTCCTGACGCTGCAGGAGGCATGCGCAGCAGCTCTGGGGGCCGTCCACTGTGTGTGCCCCCTTCCAGCCAGGCTGGGAGCCCCTGGCCCACCCTCATGAGACCAAGCTCCAGAAATTGCCATTGAACCGCCTTAAAAGGTCATTACATGTACGTGTTATTCTATGAAACGTGAATTCTATGTGAAAGTCTACATCTAAATATGTCTGCTGATTTGTTAAAACTTGCAATATTATCATGTTTAAGAGGATCAATGGGCTTCATTTATTTTGAGTTCGTGATCTGTTTTAAATTGAGGTTAAGTTTACATACAGTGAAATGCACGGCTCCTTAGTGTGCAATCCAGTGAGTTTTGATCATTGTCTACATCCATGTAACCACAATTCTAAATCAAGAAACAGAACATTTCTGTCACCCCAGCAGGCGACCTCGTGTCTCCTTCCAATTTTATGCTGTTTGCTGTGTCTAGAGGTGAGTTGACACGTCTCAGCATGTCATTCGGAGTCTTTCCTGATCAGTACAGGTGGGTGGGTGGGCAGGCAGGTGTGCGGCCTCCGTGCGCAGGTCAGCACCCTCCCTCTTAGCTCGTATCCAAGGCTCTCTGTCTCTCCCTCTGTCACTGCCTCTGTCTGCCCCCTCCCTTCCCTACCTCATCATTCCCCACTTTATTCTCATCTCTCCCTTGACTGGCAGTAATATTTTATTACCATTTGCTGAACATGGTTTTATGCTGTTGGTTCTTAATCCTGAAGGTAGATGAGGGAATAGTTATATTTCCCTTTTTATAAAAGCTATTAATTAAATCACTAATTTTACCCAGGTGGCCTTGGTTAATTCTCTGCAATTAGCAGAGTGGTGACTTCTTGTAGAAACTTGTTTCCAGACCTTGTAGAGGTGATGCTGAGCCCCCCTGGGGCAGGAGTGGGCCCCCCAGCATCCCTCAGAACCCCACCGCCAGCCCTGCCTTGCCCCTCACCGGCTCTCCTCGCCCTCCAGCAGCTTCCGGTAGGTGGCAATCTCCACATCCAGGGCCATCTTGACATTGAGCAGGTCCTGGTACTCGCGCAGGTGGCGGGCCATCTCATCCTTGAGATGGCGGATCTCCTCCTCTAGGCGGGCGATGTTGTCCTGGTAGCCGCTGGCCTCACTAGCAAAGCGGTCCTCCAGCTCCCGCATCTGCCTCATCAGGGAATCGTTCTGCAGGGGAGGGATGCCCAGGTCAAAGTCAGGTTGTTGGAAGTGGGGGGACACTCGGGGGCCAGGATCCGGGAAAGACAGCCTCAGGGCTGGGGACAAGCCCAGATGGTCAGGTCCAGGCGTTGTCAAACTCTTCTGACCCGGGGAACCCTGAACTCAAATGAAGTGTTATGTGGAAACTCGGAGAACAGAACTGATAAAAGGCAGCACTGCCATTCAGCCTCCACGCCCCCACGTGGGAGCCTCATGATTTCCTGAAAGCCCAACTGGCAATCCACCGGTTTTTATCCCTGTGGTAGATTTGAGGAGACAGAGGCCCAGAGAGGGTAAGTGATGGGCCCAAGGTCACAGAGTGAGGGTGTGAGCTGCAGACGGGAAGGGCTGGGCCAGGTGGACTGGGACTCACCGTGCCCTTGAGGGCGTCGATCTCGCAGGTGTAGGACTGGATCTGGTGTCGGTACTCCATCATCTCCTGCTTGGCCTGGCGCAGCGCATCGTTGTTCTTGTTGGCTGCCTGGGTCAGGTCGGACACCTAAGGGCAGAGAGGGGCCCTGAGCTGAGGAGAATGCAGGATGCGGGCTGGGTGGGCAAGAGAACAGGGGGACCCAGGCTCACCCTCCTGCCCACGGACGGAGCCACCGCAAACACTTCCACCCTGGGACAGGGCCAGGCCGCACACCTTGGACTTGTACCACTCCTCGGCTTCGGAGATGTTCTTAGCTGCAATGGTCTCGTACTGGGCCCGGATGTCCCTGAGGGCAGCGGTGAGGTCTGGCTTGGTCATGTCCATCTCTACGTGGACCTGCTGTTCCTGAAGCTGGGCCTGTAGCTCTCGAATCTCCTGCAGGGTGCACCCGAGCCTCAGTCTCCTACCAGGCCCCGCACAGCAAGCACCCTTGCACCCCATACCCAGAGCGGAGCACCACCATTCTCCCTGTCTGCCTGCTGTCACCAGCACCTGAGGACCGTGAGGAGGAGCGCCCAGAGCATACCTCTTCGTGCACTTTCTTAAGGAATGCGATTTCCTCGTTGAGGGATTCGATCCTGCGCTCCAGGTCAATTCGAGCTAGAGTGGCCGCATCCACATCCTGGGAGAGGTCGAGCAAGAGGGAGAGGGTGACTGATCACCCAGGGAGGGCTGAGGGAGACCGGGGACCCCACGAAGGGACAGAGGGGTAAGGCTGCCGGGGGTTCAAACAGGGCTCACCGATCGGAAGGCAGCCAAGTTGTTCTCCGCTTCTTCTTTCAGTTGAATCTCCTCTTGCAGCCTGGTGGGGACAGACAGACAGACAGACAGAAAGATGGGCAGTGGGTGGGGACAAAACTGGCCCTGGAGGTGACTGGTGGGGTTGGGGGGCTACCCAGGGAGTGGGCTGAGAACAGAGAAAGGAGGCCTTGGCTACTGTCCTATAGAGACAGGAGGCCCCGCCCAACCAGGGAGGGGACAGGAAGTGGCCCAATCTCTGCCCTAGAGCCACACCCTGGAAGTCTATGTCCCCATCAGATTGTGACCTCTTTAGGATTAAGAACCTCATCTATTTTATCTGCCTCTGTATTCCTGGTCCCTGGCCCCAGCTTGGCTCCGGTAGGTCGGTGCTCAGTTGATGTCTGTGACCTGGGTGGCAGGGCGGCGGCTCTGCTCACTGGGGCTGTCAGAGCAGGGCCCACGAGTACTTGCTCTATCCTTTTAGTACTGGGAGCCCAGTGGAGCCCACTCTCCAGTCCTCGCAGCTTCCTGAAGGCTGCAGCGCCCTTGCCCTCGCTCCCCTTTCCTCTAGATTATCTGTTCCCCTGTGAAATGCACAGCCTCAGCTAGGCCCAGGGGCCAAGATCCCCCCTCTGCCGCGGCTCTACCACAGGTGAGCTGAGAGCTACTGCTTGGGTTCCCCACCCCCTGCCCTTCCCAGGTGGCCCCAGGTTTCCTCCTCTCCTGTCAGCCTCCCCTTTCCCTCCGACTGAACCCGGGCCTTCTTCCTCTACCCGCCTGCCTGCCTGCCTGCCTGACCGCTGTCAGTATCACCCCATCATCTTAAGATGCTTTTTAAGGGGGCTGTCCACAGGTCTCGCGTTCCCACCCCGTGATGTCTCCAAGAAAGCGCCTCCGTTGCAGAGGGGGAGCACATGAGAGAGACCCGGAGTCTATCTCCGCTCAGGGGACACAGGTAGATGAGCTTCTCTCCCTGTGGGGGTGCCCATGGAAAGGGGTTTCTGGGAGCACTAGGTTCTCACTTGGCCTTGAGCCGCTGCAGGTCGTCCAGCAGGTTGTCGCGCTCGAGCTCGACGCGGGAGCGCTGGTTGGTGAGCACCTCCACCTGGCGCCGCAACTCGCGCAGCTCCTCCTCGTAGATCTCAGCGACCCGGGTGGGCTCGCGGCCCTTGAGCCGGTTCACCTCGGCAGCAAGCGCCGCGTTCTGCTGCTCCAGGAAGCGCACCTTCTCGATGTAGTTGGCGAAGCGGTCGTTGAGCTCCTGCAGCTCCACCTTCTCGTTGGTGCGCGTGGTCAGGAACTCCTGGTTCACGGCGTCGGCCAGCGAGAAGTCCAGCAGCTCGCCCGCGCCGTAGGAGGAGGGCGCGCGGGCTGATCCCAGCCGGCTGGCCCGTAGCGATCCCAGGCCCCCTGCCCCGCCCGACGTGCGCGACACCTGGTACACGCGGGATGTCATCGAGCTGGAGGAGCCCTTGGTGCCGAAGCCAGCGCGCGGGAACACAGGCGAGCTCAGCGGGGAGCCGAATGTGAAGGCCGGAGCCCCCCCGAAGGTGCGGCGGTAGGAGCTCACGCGCTGGCTGGAGGAGTAGGCCTGGCTCATGGTGGCGGCGCGGGCGAGGCTGAGCGGCGCAGAGGAGGCGGCGGGCGGGCGGCGGGCGGCGGGCCGGCTAGAAAGTGAATCCGGCAGGGGACACTGGCCCCCACCAGTCTGCACTATTTGTATCCCTCCTGACATCAGCCCCCTCCGCCCCTCCCCTGACAGCTGCAGGATCCGGCTGTCCTGCCAGGAAAGGGCGGCCACTGGCGTGGGGGCGGGGAGGCCGGCTCCCCCGCAAGAGGCCTTCGCCTCTGCCCCTCCGCCGGCTGGTAGGGGGCTCGTGAGGAGCGTGGGAGAGAGGCTGATCAACCTAGGAGGGCAAGAAGATGGTCCGGCCTGCCAAAAACTTCAGCAGGGCAGTGAGCACGTCTGGAACCCCTGGCGGGCCTCTTTCAGCCTTTGGGTGCCTGCCTCCTCCTGTGGGTGGTCAGGGAAAACCGGGGAGAGGCTTCCATTTACTTTGAGAGCCTCCTTTTTTTTGCTCCAAGGTGAGACTTTGGGTCATTTCCTGATGGGACAAGGCCTGTTCCCAAGAAAGTCTCCAAGTCCCCTTTTTCCTAAACATTCTCCTGTAGTGGCGGAGGTTTGGAGGGGCTCACTCAAAGACCAGGAGTCCACCAGCCAGACCTGGAGGAGGAGGAGGGTCTCTACACAGGCCTGCGGGGATGAGAGCCTCAGGGCAGAGAGCAACGCCGCCGGCAGAGCTGGCCAGAGCTGGCCTGCTCGTGTAAGTCCGCTGGCACCCGGGCTCCAGCTCTGAGCCTCAGTTTCCCCCTAGACTAGTACAGGCCCTTTTCCTCGCCTTCTACTGATGCAGGCGGGGCCTCCAGTTTACAGACAAGAGAGTGACTTCCAGAAAGGGCCTGGTGTGCTTTCAGTTTCCAGTCACTAAGAACACGCTCACCCCCTCGCCACCATCGGCTTCACCTGACTCTGCCCCCTGGCGCCCACTCCACCCCTCTCTGATTCATCCCCCTACACACGCCACCCACGCCCACACACACCAGGGGGTTGTGTTTTGTCAGGAGCCCCGTGTCAACCCAGCCATCTCTCTGGCAACAGCAGCAGCTGCCAACCCGAAATACCAGAGCTGGTATTTATAGAGGAGAATGCAAGGGTCCGGTAAACAAGCACGCACCAGTGAAGCTCTGGGGGCAGGGGCCCTACCTGCGGAGGAGGCATGAGAGCCAGGGGAAGGCTTGGGGTGATAAGCTGCCCTCACTGCCCACCCCCATAATGCCCTAAGCCCCCTGTAGGAATGGAGCCCATCCCGTCCTAGCCCTGCTCCTTAGTGCAAGGCAGTGGCTGATCCCAAGGGACTTCCCCACTTCTCCGTGAACACCAGCTGTCCCTGCACCTCCACCTGGCACTCTGCGGGCCTCTCTTAGGCCTGCCCTTTTGGAATGCACTTGGAAATAAAGTGCTGGTCCTCCCCTAGCTCCCCCATCACCGGCAGGACTAATTACTAACAGACAACTCCTTGACTTCTCTGTGTCCTCGTTATCAAGTGAGAGTGTTAGCCTTGCCATGTTTAACCCAGAGCTGTTTGAAGAGGCTCAGGTAACACATATAATAATAATACCTTACATGTACTGAGCACCTACTGTAGGCCACTCTGCTGAGCACTCAACACCCATGTTCCCCAATTCTCCAGGAACCCTATGAGGTAGGAACTGATATCAGTCCCATTTTGTGGCTCAGGAAGCTACACAACGGGTCTGACTCCAGAGCCTCTGCTATGTCCCCAGGGTGGGTGTGAACCAGCCAGGCGACCTGGAAAGGGCTTTGTTACTGCTGTCTTTTCAAAGCCCTTTCACATTAAGTGTCTAATTTTTACCCAAGAGACAAGCTTATGAGGTGGGTGGGGAGTTCCAGCTATTCATATCCAGCCTTCGAGTCACTGCAAGCTGTTGCGTTCTGGTTATTTTTGTGTCTCATCTCCCAAACTAGATTCTAGGCTCCTGGAGAATTTTGGAGAACATGTGGGTTCTTAGCACATCTAAGGCAGCACTGTCCTTGTTGTAGTTAAAAGTGGCCTGGGAGCTTTCCTTCCCATCCCCTTATTTTGGTAACAAATGACATACACACATATACCAGGAGGGGATAGGTGACTCAGCTCCTAGTCAGTCTCAGAACTGCATCCCTCTCACTGCACTGATTGGCTCAAGGAGTGGGGCTTGAGCAGGGCCAATCAGAGACCTTCCCTGGGATTTATAGATGGAACAGGGAGTACTAAACTGGAGCCTGTGACAACCAGGTTTTTTGCCCACTGGGGGGGAGGGTCTTTCCGGAGTAGGAGGAAAGAATGCTCAACATGCAAGGAGAGGCAGAGACACCCGGAGAGGAGGAGAATGCCCAGCAGGCAATCCTAAATTCCAGCCCCTAGGGCCCTGGTTGCAGCCCTTCCTCAATTTGGTGAGCTTTCTCAGTGTCCTTCCTGGCTTTGAGGCCGATAAACTTTTCCTTTTTTAACTTAAGGAACTTGGTGTTGGCTTCTGTCACTTGTAGTCAAAACAATCCTGACTAATCTGCTGTAGTAAACTGTGCCCCTATTTCCACAATGCTGGAGAGAACAGAACATTTGTGGAACTCCTCTCTATAAACAGTCTCCAGACCACATAAGGAAATTGCTCTTCTGCCCAGCACTGTCCACTCCCTTCCGTTGCCCCGTGTGATACCAGCTCTCTGAGCTGCCTGGGGTGGGCAGCTGCGGGCCAGGGAAGAGGCAACTTCACTGGGGTCTGCAGGTCTGTCCCAAGCACCCTACAGGGCTAGAAAAGGAAGCGGAACCTGTCCAGAATCCCTGCAGGACAGGAAAAGGAGAGGACATCTCAACATGGAAAAACTCTACAATGAAAATCAAGGAAAGCTAGGGCGTGAGGGAAAGCCAGAAGATGAGGTAGATACAGGAGGTGAAGGAAAGGCAGATGAGGAAGAAAGCCAGAAGCGGCAGGAAGCCAGGGCATGGCGAAAAGCGCCAGGGCAAGGGACGGGCCGGTAAGGGAAACAAGAAAAGCAAAACAGGTTCGAAGGTGAGGGAAAAGCACACGGTGAAGGCAAGCCAGAACCCCAGGCCAAGCCGGAGAGCCAGCCAAGGACTGCCGAGAAGCACCAGAAAGCAACCAAAAAACAGATCAGCAGACAAGTGATTCCACCAAGCACTTAGCAGGAGGACTTACAGGAAAGGCATTTGGGCAGTGAGGAGATGATGAGGGAATGTGGAGTTGTGTCAAGGGCGCAGGAAGAGCTAAGGGACGAAGTAGAAACGAATGGTTTTCCTTAGCTGCAAAAGAGATTTTGGCCCAAGGGGCCAAAGAGTTTGTGTGATAACCCATATCTTTTAAAGCCCTTGGTCTTCAATTCTGACTACTCTGATGAGAATATTCCAGCCCTGCTTTCCCTGGTGGGCATTTGCCAGGCAATACACTCTAACCTTAAGCTGATGCTTTGCTTCCGGTGTCTGCCACTCTTGTTACCAGCAGCCTTTTGGTCCAACTATACAGTGCTCTTTGCTTCCGTGTGCATGGTACTTTGTAAAACAATAAAGAAAAGAGTTTTCACAACCACACACCACACACTCCCATAAAAGGAAATTGCCCTTCTGACCAGCCCAAGGGCTCAGTTTCTTGGTGAAATGAGACAGAAAACAAATAAACAAACAAAACCATCTATTCTCTAGTCAAAATCTGTATCTCTCCCAGACTTGGCTCTGAACCACTTGGGCCTGTTCTCAAAATTCACTTTCACCCCTTAGGATTTGCTGCCGTGGGGGGCAGCAAACAGCACTCCGGGGCTTGAAAAAGTGAAAAAGGAGCGCTCCTAAGCATGCTGTGCTTCAGACAGCACCGCTTGCCAGAGCAAGAGTTTAGCCTCCCCAGGGGACCACTTAGAATGGGACACTCTGCAACTAACAATATTGTATCTGGATGGTTAATGTACTCAGCACAGAATGCAAGAGGTCCCATTCTGTGGGTTGCCTTTTCATTCTCTTGATATTATCCTTTGATGAGCAAAAGTTTTTAATTTTGACAAAGTCCAATTTATCTACTTTTTCTTTTATTGTCTGTGCTTTTGGTGTCATAGCCAAGAAATCATTGCTAAATTCAATGTCACGAATTTCACCCCTGCGTTTTCTTCTAAGAGTTTTACAGTTTTATGTCTTTGATCCATTTTGAGTTAATTTTTGTATGTGGTATAAAGGTAAGGGTCCAACTTCTTTCTTTGGAATGTGACTATGGGGAAAGACTGTTCTTTCCCCCTGGAATGATCTGGGCACCCCCTGTTGAAAACCATTTAGTCATCTATGGGAAGATTTATTTCAGGGTTCTCTATTATCCCATTGGCCTATATATCTGTCCTTATGACAGTACCACGTTGTTTTGATTGAAAACAAGTACTCACTGGTTTTGAAATCAGGAAGTGTGAGTCCTCCAACTTTGTTCTTGTTTAAGATGTTTTGGCTATTCAGGGTGCTTTGAAATTCTATATGAGTTTTAGGATGGATTTTTCTAGTTCTTCAAAAAGCACTGGTGGGCTGTTTACAGGGGTTGCATGGAATCTGTAGATCACTTAGGTAGTATGGACAGCTTAACAATGTTAAATCTTCCCATCAATGAACACAAGATATCTTTCCATATATTTCTGACTCCTTTAATTTGTTTCAGCAATGCTTTAAAATTTTCGGTGTACCAGTCTCATGCCTCCTTGGTTATATTTATTCCAAAGTATTTTATTCTTTTCGATGCTATTGTAAATAAAATTGACTGTGTAGGGTTTTTACTTCATTCTGTTATTGTGGTGTATTATACTAATTGATTTTTCATATCTTGAACCATCCTTGCATTCTAGGAATAAATCCCACTTGATCATGGTATATAATCCCTTTAAAATGCTGCTGGCCCTGGCTGAGTAGCTCAGTTGGTTAGAGTGTCATCCTGATACACGAAGGGTGCAGGTTTGATCCCCAGTCAGGGCACATACAAGAAACAACCAATGAATGCATAAATAAGTGGAATAACAAATTGATGTTTTTCTTTCTCTGTCTCCCTTCCTCTCTCTCTAAAAAAAAATTTAAATAAGTAAAAAATTTAAAAATAAAGCACTTTAT